ATATTTAGGTTAACAGCTACACTGGTCACATAGTGTCCCACATATTTAGGTTAACAACTACACTGGTCACATAGTGTCCCACATATTTAGGTTAACAACTACACTGGTCACATAGTGTCCTACATATTTAGGTTAACAGCTACACTGGTCACATAGTGTCTCACATATTTATGTTAACAACTACACTGGTCACATAGTGTCCTACATATTCATGTCAACAGCTACACTGGTCACATAGTGTCCTACATATTTAGGTCAACAGCTACACTGGCCACATAGTGTCCTACATATTCATGTCAACAGCTACACTGGTCACATAGTGTCCCACATATTTAGGTTAACAACTACACTGGTCACATAGTGTCTCACATATTTAGGTTAACAACTACACTGGTCACATAGTGTCCTACATATTTAGGTTAACAGCTACACAGGCCAAATAGTGTCCCACATATTTAGGTTAACAACTACACTGGTCACATAGTGTCCTACATATTTAGGTTAACGGCTACACAGGCCACATAGTGTCCTACATATTTAGGTTAACAACTACACAGGCCACATAGTGTCCCACATATTTAGGTTAACAACTACACAGGCCACATAGTGTCCCACATATTTAGGTTAACAACTACACTGGTCACATAGTGTACCACATATTTAGGTTAACAGCTACACAGGTCACATAGTGTCCCACATATTTATGTCTGAAACACTTTAGAGAATTAAATACATCTTTTATACATTTTGAGTGTTTTGAAATTGACTCTCAAGGTTTCATAGATATTTAGCTTATCTTGATAATATTAAAAAGGAGTATCCTGTTTTGCCGTAGCTACATTTTCGTATCCCGCCTCGTGACAAATACACACTGATGTACAACTTGTATCCACTGGTGTCGGGCTATGTGTTATTGCCACGGTTACGGTTGGTGTTAAATCCAGGAATGCCTACTGCTCTTACGATGGAGGACCTAGTACAAGAAATGATACCTAGTCATATATTTATCATGGTAAGTGTCTTATTTGATATTTTTCATTTTTTAATATATTAAAGTCTAGGGACAAGATAAAGGTTTGGAGTGAGTCAACACTGTAGATTACTTTACACTGTATACTTATTGAAGTAATATAGGTATTATACATTATACAAAGACATGCCTAACAACACTGTAGATTACATTACACTGTATACTTATTGAAGTAATATAGGTATTATACATTATACAAAGACATGCCTAACAACACTGACTAGTAATACAGGGCGTAGGAGGTTTCAGTTTTGTGTGTTTCCTTTGATAAATGTTATTTTAAGCATATCTGCAAAGTTCCAACAAGTCTGGAAAATCAAGGGGTAAATTTCCTATGTTAAGAAACATAAAATGTGGAATAACAATGCAAAAGTGAAATGTAAAATTATTTTATAATCACACGAAAGATGAAAACATCTTGTGTAATTTTCACTTTAAAGGTACGTTAATACCGAAAATCTAAATGTCTTGCAACTAAAACTAAGAAAGCATTTAGTAATGGTGAACTAGGATTGATGACATCGGCCATACCAGAACAAGACATTTTTCACCATACTATAAATTTCGTAATGTTGCCCCAAAAGTGGGTATAAAAATTTGTGTGGAAGGCCTGATGTCACACACAAAAAAAAAAAACTGTTAGTAAATTTCATTATTTTAAAAGTTACGCTTATGCAAGATGGGAAGGAAGGTATTGGGGTTTAATATTGAGTGTTTTATTCTTCCAGCCTCAGGGGAAGACTTCACCAGATTTCAGTGTTAGGTCGGCGTAATATCAGAACAGTAAAAGTAAAATGGAGCCATCGTGTCTAATAAGGACAACCATTTACATTCAAGAACAGTAATGGCTTCCATCTGCTAACTACCTGGTTGACAGGAAGGCTTGAGACATGTTGGGAATTGTGGTTGATATTTATGTATGTGCAACATTTCTGAACGGTGCTCATTGGTGTCTCTCAAATTTTTATTATTATATTTAATGACAATGAAGAACAAACGTTTATTTGAATTAAATTACCAGTTACAAAAGTAATCATGTTGAACACTAAAGAACTGTATTACGCTTACTGTTTCCTTCATTTCTGTAAAGGAGTAGTGTGAGATGTAACATATATGTATACAGTAAAATAGTTTATTGTAAACATGTGTACAGTAACGTACTTTAAGCATTTGTGTGGTAACATATACTTTTTCTAAGCATGTTTAAGGTAACATGCATTTCCTGTAAGCACATGTATGGTAACATGCACTCCCTGTAAACATATCTGTGTTAATACACTTCCTGTAAGCACATGTATGTTAGCATGCACTTCCTGTAAACACATGTATGTTAACATGCACTTCCTGTAAGCACGTATGTTAATATGCACTTTCTGTAAGCACATGTATGTTAACATGCACTTCCTGTAAGCACATGTGTACAGTAACAACAATTGGATCTCACAGTAAGGATGTGTACAGTAACATCTATTGTACCTTGTTTTAAGCATGTATGTGGTAACATATAATTCTTCTAAGCATGTTTAAGGTAACATGCATTTCCTGTAAGAACATGTATGGTAACATGCACTCCCTGTAAACATATGTTAACGTGCATTTCTTATAAACACATGTATGTTAACATGCACTTCTTGTAAGCATGTATGTTAACATGCACTTCCTGTAAGCATGTGCATGTTAACATACACTTCCTGTAAACACATGTATGTTAACATACACTTTTTGTAAGAACATGTATTTTAACATGCACTTCCTGTAAGCATGTGTGTTCAGTAACATCTATTGTACTTCACAGTAAGGATGTGTAGAGTAACATCTATTGTACCTCACAGTAAGGATGTGTACAGTAACATCTATTGTACCTCACAGTAAGGATGTGTACAGTTAACATCTATTGTAC